CGCACGTAAAGCTTTTCTGACTTTTTATATCGTTCGACGTTATTTTTCATTTTGGACTTTATCTAAGTCTTTATCGAATGACTTCTTTAAACGAAGAATAAAGGACTTCATTTTTACCGTATTTATCGTTGACAGAAAACCAAAGTATGCGTATATTTTCAGTTAATAAATTAATTCGGCATCTTGAGTTATATATATAAATTATTCTCTACTTTCTGAATGTTTGAATTATTTTAAACTATATTCGAAGTTTTTCAATTATTTTAAATTGTATTGGAAGTACTTAAATCGTTTTAAATTGTGTTCGAATGATCTAAATCACTTTAAATTATGTTCGAATTATTTAAATCACTTCAAATTATATTTGAAGTATTCGAATGACTTTAAATTGTATTTTCGGAGTACTTTTCGAGTATCAAAGTGCCTTGCTCGCGCGAACCGTAAAACGAGAACCGCGGAGAATTTCGTGTAATTAATAATTTCGATTAATTTATAACCGTAAACAACGTTCGAAAGTCTACTAAATGGACATTCGCGGTTCGATTGCCCTTCGCCGTTTCTTTCCGTCGCGTAATTCATTCGACTCGATTCCGGAAGGTTGGCTACAAAATGAAATTTGTTAATATTCCTGCACAGTTTAAGCGCACAAGCACGATCGCGCCTGGCGTTCTCTCGATAATGTAGCCGTCGGAAATTTTCGGAATACCGCAGTAAAGCACGGGAGCAAAATTAATAATCCTGTTTGCTCCGTTTGTTTGCTTGGATATTAGGCTAACCTTTCGTGCCGGTGAAATTTGCATTCATCCGGTAAATGCGAGATCGGGGCGATCGCGGAAAACGATAGCCGCGCGAAACGTGTTCGGCTACTTAAATTCTAAGAACACGCGACCGATCCCTTTGCAGCGCAGATCCGTTGATAGAATGCCGATAGTGTGTGCACCACGGCGTAAAATAAGAAATTAACGTAATTACCGTAATTAAGAAGCAATCGTTCGCCGTTCAAGTATTTATTCTCGGCGAGTGCAAACGCATTCAATCCGCTGCCTACTCGTTACGTTCTTTAATCTCGTGCCATTCGGCTTCGGATAAATTGTACGGCGAAATATAACGGAGTCCTCTATTCTTCTTCTTTTTTTTAAAAAAAAGGCATTCGACCATATAATAAATATGGTCCATATAATAAACCCGTTTATTTTGAAAGTGACATAAGTCACTTTGTTTTTAAGTCGATATATTTAAGACGCTCAAAAATATGGATGCTAACTTTCGAGAAGATTCACTTGTATTTGTTATCTCAGGACACTGATATTTTTCTCGGTATAAATAATTTCGTATAAACATTAAAAAATCACCACTTTTCATTACGGTAAAGTGACTTATGCCACTTTCAAAATAAACGGCTCGTATGTGAAATCAGAAATACAGTAAAATATGTAGGGATAAAATTCAACTTCGACACCTCCGACAACGAGAATACGGCGAATAGAAAAAAACCATCTGCACCTGTAACTTTCGTGCTTGCGGCTCTGCAAACGATGTAAAAAAGGCTAAACGTTTCACCGGCTGAATTTCACCGCGCGATCGCTGAAACGCTAATTAGCCGCCGCGATCGCCTTGTTCGGAGTCCGAATGCGCGACGCAAAGGAGACGTCCCGCTCGTCGCGGCGACGGGACCTTTGATTCGGGGATCGCCGGATAAAAGAAGCGAGCACCGAGCACTGCTTGGCGAAGGGATTAAACCGTCAGAAATATTATCGCAATCCTGGCTGCGAAAGCTCGCCCCGGTGGCCGGGGTAATTTTAAGAAAACCGAGCAGCCGCTGATTCGGGATTACGCCGTGAACGCGATTCGGAAAAAAAGGGGCACGGATATTACGTCTCCGCATTAGTCGTTCTCTAAAGGGAGATCGCATCGGTGTAACAACACTCCCCTGAAAGAAGCTTCTCCTCTTCTTACGCGCGTTCTTTGGCCCCGCAATCGGGGTCATCCTCGTGAAAAGAAACGCACGCCTGGAAACACGGCTTTCTTGCCCCGGGATCTCGTGGGTCACGGTTTCAAAGGGTATCTTGGAAACGTTGTAATTATGAAACTATCCGTCAAAATGAAACAGATATCAAGGGGAAACGCGACGAAAATGAACGCACGGAGACGAAAGCTCCCGGGTTCCTTTGGCTTTTGTGTTCCGGCCCCGCGATCAACCTTCCGAATAATTCCATTTCCCGGCGAATCCGCGGTTTTTTCTAATTTATCGTCGCGCCGCGAGACACCCTGTTACGACCCCGAAACCAGCTTCTTCGCTTTGACGAGTCGCTTTGACGAACCTCGGTTCGCATTACCGATGGAATTTTCGTTCGAACGCATTTTTCCCCTTCGGTTTCTCAATGTTTTCCGTAATGTGTGGTAGTGATCGCCTCATCATTGGCAGAAGAAATTCCGCGACGCGTTCTTTTCAATTGGTTGTTCGGACCAATAATTCCGCGGAATATAGTATTCTTTTTTTTTTCGTGCCGTTTCACTCAATATTGCACCGGCGGCAAGCAGCAATATATATGCAAATTACGGGAACATTAATTTCGATGATAAAATCTCTCCCACGGAAAATTTATAGCGCCGATTTTATTCGGCCGAACTGCGTCAAATCGAATATTCTTATTACGAGTTTCATAGTTGTTTCGGCGACCAGAAATTCGCTAGATGCGCGATGAGAGAACGTATTTATGAAATCGTTTAATGAACGGTGAAGTAAATATTGCGTTCGAATTCGATCTCGTTGGAACAAGGTATTTAATTGTGTTGAATTTATTTAGAAATAAATTCGATTCAGTCGGAAAGAATACTATTATTCGTTCGATGAATGATAACAAGTAAGTATTGTATTCGAATTCGATCTGGTTGGAACAAGCTATTTAATCGTGTTCGATTTATTTAGAAATAAATTCGATTCAGTTGGAAAGAATGCTATTATTCGTTCGATGAATGATAAGAAGTGAATATTGTATTCCAATTCGATCTGGTTGAAAACAAGCTATTTAATCGTGTCCAATTTATTTGGAAATAAATTCAATTCGGTCGGTGGAAAAACTATTATTACTTGCGCACGCGATGCGAAATAAAAATTTATGCGGTCTATAAACTGCTATAATTTACGAGAAGTTTCGAATATTAAAGATTCTTAAGAGGCGTCGTTGATAAAGTTTACTGATAAAGTTTATCGTTCGAAGATTTTTATTGCGAAAATTTCGTTGGAAAAGTTTCCACGTGCACACACTCCGAACGAAGTTAGAATAGCGTGCACCCATTCTCACGGAATTCGTTTTCATTCCTTCTTGCGCCTGGCTCCGTATACTATGGCTACGCCAGTGTACCACATCTTGATAAGTTCGCAAATACAGGCACAAAGGGAGAAGCGAATGTACACCGAGGTCTGTGACGTGAAATTTTGGGCTCGCGTAACGAAAACTGTTTCCTCGGTAAACCGAAATGCTGCTGAAAAAAATATTCATTTCACTGTTTCGCTCGTTTTCTAAATATTAAACTTCGCTTATTCGCAAATTCGTCAACGACATTGTTCTTTCACGCGCGTTTACGCTACTGTTAAACGATTCTTCTTCGCTGAAGCGAGTGGCATCTTCTTGACAATAGGGTGCCAGATTTTAGTGCGACGAATAAGTACAGTAATGTCTCTCTAATTGACGCTCCGATTGTCCACAAAAATGGACAATTTGGGAAGAGGAGATACGATTAATTTGACTCTTGCGCCTCGTTTTTATAATCACCGATTCTCAACAACTATAAAAACGAGGTGCAAGACTCGAACAATCGTATCTCCTTTTCCCGAATTGTCCATTTTTGTGCACAATCTGAGCGTCGGTTAGGGAGACATTACTGTAATAACATTTCGTGATCGCATTTGACAATAATATGTGTTAGATATTCGAGCAACAATAATCACGTTTCGACTGAAATTTGAAATGACTTTAAACGTTGTATCAAACGTTTGTAACAGTTGCATTCGCATTTTGCTTTTTGGATTATATCTACCCTAGCCAAGCAAGACGTTAAATTATAGCAATTAGCACTTATCCTGCTGCAAGCAGATGCGAACTCTCTGGTCTTTTCGCGAGCGAACCAGGGTATCACGGAGTCGGCACGAAAGCTCTGCAAGTATTCGTTTACCTTCCAAAGGACCAAAGGGAATGGAAATCATCTAGAAGAATCGCCTGCAATTCCAATACAGTAATTTCTCCCAGAAATGTACACGTAATGTCTCCCTAATTGACGCTCAGATTTTGCCACGAAGATGAACAGTTTCGGAAAAGGAGATACGATTGTTCGAGCCTTGGAGCTCGCTTTTACAGTTGTTGACGATTCGTGACTATAAAAATGAATCACAAGGATCGAATAATCGAATCTCCTCTTCTTAAACTGTCCAATCTAAGCGTCAATTAGAGAGACATTACTGTGCCTCGCAGCTCCGTGATTTTTCTCACCTGAGTCACACCCAACGGACCGTTTTGCGCTGTCCTCCGTGAACTCCGTCGACCCTTGGCATCGACGTAGCAATAAATAACGTGGACGTAGGGCCGGGCACGGGGAAATTCACGGCAGCCCGAAATTTGGCATTTCCGGGGGAAATTACTGTAGTCTCGAGTGCGAAGGTTTAACAAGCTGGTTACACCGAAAGTGGCGTCGATTCGCACGTGCTGGCGAACCAAAGATCCGCAGTCTAATTACACCGTTAATCTTATCGGCGCTTATCTAAATGCGTTCCGTGCGCCGTGTGTATGCACTTTGGCCGGCCGGTTTCGCCGGAAGTGATTTCGAGTACACGACGGCATGCTATGAATCGCCGTTGAAGGGTTTGTCGCGCGACCGGCTGCGAATCAATTGCAGTTGGCAGCCGTTGGGGCCGTTTAATACAGCGATCGCGTCGCGTCGTCGTCGTCGCGTCGCGTCGTCGCGAAGACCGATGACGGTAAAAGTTGCTTTATATGGTTTACCTGGCGGCGATGTCGTCGTTGCCGCGCGTTGTCCCGCCTTTCTCGCTGAAAATGATGATGCGAGTTGCGTCGCGATACCATTTGATGCTGTGCAGCCCGTTGCACTGCGGCGATTTCAGGACGCACGGCAGCTCCACCTCTGTGCCGAGCTCGGCCCGTTTCTCGCTCTTCAGCCACGGCTCGTTGCTCCCTGAAACAAACGTACGCAAACGCCGTGAATTGCGCCCCGTTCGTTCGCGTTCGTTCGTTCGTTCGTTCGTTTGTTTGCTTGTTTACAGAAAGGATAACGTTCCGCCGGAACGAAATCATTTTACCCGATGCGCCGTGCCCGCGCGAACGTGACCGTTTCGCAGACGGGGATAGGTCGCGATTTCTCCGCGGGCTTGCCGAACCCTCGATCCGATCTTCGCCGAGACGGTCGAACCGAGGACGTTGTCTGTTTCGAGGAAGCAATTATGGAAACGCGATTTCGGAACGACGGGATCCTGCTCCCGGTTAGATTTTTCCGAAACGCGGATGCGACGGGCGAACGTGTTCGCAATTTTGGCAAACGGAAGCTGTCCGACTGCTGCTAAATGCGGACCCGAGAATCGCCGAAAGTTGTTCGTTTCGTACGACGAAAATTCTGTGATAATTTCACGGAAAAGTTCGCCAAATTTGGCGGGGAAAAATCGCGTTTTCCTCTCTGAATTGAAGGAGAAGAAGGATCGAACCTCGTTCGGCTGCGAACGTCATCTCCGAAGATAATTATACAGAGTCGAATCTTGACGATTTTCGAGATGACAAACGATATGGTCTCGTATTTAAAGGGTTACCGTGGCGAGGATTGCATCGAGCTTACAATTCAGAAACATTAGCTTAAAGTAGAAGTTTCGAGCTTTAATTCAAGGGAACAGTCATCGTCCTACGATGATCTTCCGCGGAGTTGTTGACAGTCGAAGCTGGCCGATTTTCATTCAGTCTGTTCTGCTATAATTTTATCGAGCTTACAATTCGCAAACATTTGCTTAAAGTAGAGGTTTCGAGCTTTAATTCAAGGGAACAGTCATCGTCCTACGATGATCTTCCGCGGAATTATCGAGTGTCGAGGCTGTGTGGCCGATTTTCATTCAGTCTGCTGTGCTATAATTTTATCGAGCTGTGTTATATAAATAGGAGGCGGACAAAAGAACGAGCTCGCTTTGAAACCATCGCGCTGAGAAATCGAAGCTATAGTAGACAAATAAAGAGCTACCGACGTGGATTTATCGCGCCTGTAAATCCGACGTAGCACAGACCGCTATAATTTAAATGCTCTCCACTCGATCGCATGGGAATAGCTGCAGAATTATTAGCTTGTCTCCGGAAGTTCGCTTTTTGGTTTTTGTGTTCGACCAGCGCACTCGTCGCGAATTCGGAACGGTTTTTTTTTCCCGAGCGAGCAAATAACACGGTGTTTGAAAATAATCCGAGAGATTAGGATGCGATAAGACAGCAACGGAGTTGCTACGATCGCGTTTGATTTCGTATGTCGCGTTAATTACTTTATAATTAACCCGTTTGCACTGGAGGCAAAATCTAACTCCAAAATCGAGACACCTTTTCCGAGCTGCGATGGCATTTTCATCTTCAACGATCGTTTTCATTTTACACGCAAGACGTTAATATCGAGTTCATTAACTGTTACATTTTTAACGAAAGTATACTCGTCGTGGACAAAAAAAATATTGCGACTTTTCGCTAGAATCGAGCCAAGAACGAACAGGTCGCAGTCGATCGTCCGGCAACAGTCGAAATGTAACACGTTCCCGGAACGTCAGAATGGAGTGTCAATTCTCTCGATGACCCAGAAAGCATTTCGCGAGAATGACGTAGCACGGGCCGCGTTTCAATATTTCTTTCGTATCGTCGCTAGAGCTATAAATATAGCGCTTTTTACAGAGATATGAAATGATAAATCACGGCCGCGGCAGCGCAGCGCGCGCCGCGCGCCATCAGATTTTTGTTTTCCCTTTTAATCCGAAATCGCGCCGCGATATTTACAACGGCCTATGCAACGTTACTTTAATTTCGTGTTTCGGCCGATCTGTTGCACCTGCCAACAGCATTTCTTTGCCCCTCCCCTTCCCCCTGGTCATGACGATTAAAGGAAACGATCCCGGCGCACGAGAACCTGCCGAACCGAAATAAATCAAAGCTAATTGCCGTTCGTCCGCGAACGTACATTTTCTTCGCGCCCAACTGTCGCGTGATTATTACCGTTATCTAAATATTAATTAGTGGCAAAGGTAAACTATGAAAGCCGAGTCCGCTCTAATCTACGTACACGCGCCTGATACCATGTTGTGAACGCGGCAGTAAATTTCCCAGTCACAACTTATGATAAACAAGAGCATAATTCTTGGTTAATTCTCGCGAAAACTCCGCGGCAGTCAAGAGCGCGCGGGCGCCCGCGGAACTTCGCGAAACTGGAAGCGCCGCCTTGGAAATTGACGACTTAAGGTGATTTATTAGCGGTTTCTGTGACACAGGGAATTTCATTCGTCACTGCTGCAAACTTTCCGTTAACGCGGCCAACGAATTTCCAGAAAAACAAACAGCTTCCGTTCTAACCCCTTCGCGCGGACGAAACCAAAGCTTTTACGATTTTACAACCGCGGAGAGGACCGATCTATAATTATTATTATAATTTAATAATAACACAAACCGATCTATGTTATTATTAAATTTTAACTGTCCACGGAGATTTTCTCCTTATTTTATAATTCCTTCGAGATTCATAATTCTTGTCGCGTCGTTCGTAAAAATGATCTTTTCGAGTTGGGCGAAATTTTGTTCGAATTACAAGGACGAATGATGAAGACTGACGAATACAATTTTATTCGTCGGCGTCGAGTAATGAATTTATTCGAATAAGGAATTCATTCGGATCATTATCTCAAATAAATATTTCCAATTAATTTTAATACACAGTCGAATAAACGAGAATAAACTCTCGACAGCGGATCGAATGATAAACGTTGAATCACAGGAGTTTGTATATCCGCGGTAAACCGGTTAATTCGTTCGCATGGACAAGGTTCGGATAAACGAGGTTCCCCTGTAAACGTAGCAGCGATTACCCGGTTGGCCAACAGAAGGATTGAAATCGGTTTAGGAATCGAAACGCGCGAACAGCCGTTTCGCCGTCGAAACGAAGAAAGATTATATTCATCGTTGGATTTTTGCGGGGGGAGTGGGGGGGGGGGCGAAACAAGCGCAAAGATAGAATATTCGTTTACGTGGCCCCCCGCTCTGAAAACATATTTCCCTGCACGGGATTCTGTTTTATGCACCTCATCCGTTTCCTCAATTTTCCGTGCGTCGCGCCAACTGCTCCGCCGATCCTTTCCACGAGGCAGCATAAACACATCGCCCATAAAAATCCCGTTCACCGCTGAATCGAGAAGCTGTCTCAAAGGAGACAATAATCAGACAGTGGCTTTCGCTTGTTGTAAGTTATCCGAGTATCGAAAGCCGATAAAATTTTCATGACGCGGTACGCGCGAAACGGGCGAAACTCCGTTATAGAAAACACAATGCCCGCGCGTATAAATCGCGCGTGTTTCCGCGGCGTGTTATATGCCAGCTTTGCCACCATCGCTAGTGATATTTGTTCGCCGGCGAAATAGATCGTTCCGCGATCTTCGCGATCGCGTAGTTACGAAGAAGCGAAAAATCCCTTCGATTTTAACTGTCTGATACGGTGATTTGCAAAACGAGTTGTACAGACACCAAATATATATATATATAATATACGGAGTGTCCCGAAAATGTCTCGCAATCCGGAAATGGGAGGTTCCTGAGGTCGTGTGAAGCAACTTTTTCCTTTGCGAAAATTTTCTCCGTGGCTTCGTTTACGAGTTATTGACGAAATACACTGACCAATAAGAGGCGAGCTCGGCTGGCGCACGGCGGTCCAGCCAACGAGTGCACGGAGTTCCAGTTCCGCTCATTGGCTCGGCCGTCTCGCGCCAAATGATCTCACCTCTGATTGGTCACGGTTTTTCGTTAATAACTCGTAAACGAAGCCGCGGATCGCATTTCCGCTGAGGAAAAAGTTGCTTCGAATCACCTCAGGAATCCCCTACTTTTGGATCGCGAGACATTTTTGGGACACTCTGTATAATATTATATAATATTATATAAATATACAAAAATATTATATATATTATGTAAATATAAATACGGTACAATAATATATAAATAGAAATAAAAATTGCCCAAGAAGTAGACGATTCTATGGAATTATTTTCAGCTCGATCAAATATAATATCTATGAACATAATATAATATTATAAATATAAAAAGAAATAAAAATATAATATCATAGATAAATATCTACCAATTTTTCTTTGCCATAAAAATCTGCAGTCTAACAGCGACCTCATCTCGTGTCGCCTTCGGATCGTCATCGAGACCGCTCGCGCGTTTCAATGACAACATTATTAACCCTTTCGGCGCTGATGCAAAATATTTCGATAGAAAATTGACGTGTTACAGGCTCGAGACGAACAGTGAATTCAAAAGTTTATTCTTCTCGACCGAGAAGAATCGCGTCTGGCAAGAAGGATTAGCGATGCGTCTGTCGTGCTCGGTATTATGCGAATATGTTAGGGTCGCCCGGTGAATATGTTGGGAGCGAAAATCTGTTAAAGTTCGAGGGTTCGGGCACGGTAAGTGATGGGGAGGAAAGGTCCGCTTATCTTCGAGGGGAACAGGATCCCAAAGTCGTATCACACCGCAAATATTATATTCGAGTAGTGAATAATGCATTACGTCGAGGTGTCTCGCGTTACGGTTTCCGTCGTCGTATCCCGTGACACCAAATTATAGTTGTTTAACACTCCTTAACACACGTAGAACGGTCGTCGTCGGTCTCGTTGCCCGTTATCCGCTTTAAAAAGACACGATATCGCGACACGTCCTTTACCGTCGAACACGTTATTACTACTTATTACGTTATTTTATATTATTATATTATTATTATATATATTATATTAATTATTATATTATTATTATATTATTTTATATTTTTTATATTATATTATTAAATTATTCTCAGTGAAATGAATATTCCGTTTTCAACGATGCTCCTTTTTTATTTTAACGCTAAACCTACCGCGGTCACAAAGTGACCGCTTTCTTATTTCGCAATTCTGCAAAGTTCCG